GTTTTAAAGAAAAAGCTGTGAATTCTAGAATTTCATTCTTTGCCTTTTTTATATCATAAATTGTAGACTTTCCAATGTCGTATGTTTCCATTAGAAAAGTATTGCTCACACTACGTTCTAGTTTCTTAAATATTTCAAGTTTGTCACTCAATTTCAACGTGTTCTTTTTTCTCTTCACACAACGAAGTTTATCTACTTTCGGAGCCATTATTATGGGCTTGTACAGTACTCTGTAAATGGAAAGAGTAGGACTCAAAATTACATATGTTGTCACAGTTTGATTGCTCGTTTTAAAGTGGCGACCGCGTGGTCGCTTGTTGTCGCTGTGCAGCTGTGGCGCTCACGCATGCGCACATACACACAAAAGACCTAAGACCAAACCTTACTCATATAACACCATCTGTGAGGGAATTACTACACCACATGTCCCTCATAACACCATATGTTAGGGAATTACTACACCACGTCAAGCCCCTCACCACACCATCTGTGAGGGAATTACTACACCACGTGAGGTCCCTCATAACACCATCTGTGAGGGAATTACTACACCACGTGAGGTCCCTCATAACACCATCTGTGAGAGAATTACTACACCACATGTCCCTCATAACACCATATGTTAGGGAATTACTACACCACGTCAAGCCCCACACCACACCATCTGTGAGGAAATTACTACACCACGTGAGGTCCCTCATAACACCATCTGTGAGGGAATTACTACACCACGTGATGCCCCTCATAACACCATTTGTGAGGGAGTTACTACACCATGTGAGGCCCCTCATAACACCATCTGTGAGGTAATTACTACACCACGTGAGGTCCCTCATAACACCATCTGTGAGGTAATTACTACACCACGTGGTCCCTCATAACACCATCTGTGAGGAATTACTACACCACGTGAGGCCCCTCATAACACCATCTGTGAGGAATTACTACACCACGTGAGGCCCTCATAACACCATCTGCGAGGGAATTACTACACCACGCCAGGTCCCTCATAACACCATCTGAGGGAACTACTACACCACGTGAGTTCCTCCTAACACCATCTGGGAGGGAGTTACTAGACTACAGTTGTACCCCACTTAACGCGGTCAATTGAACCCAGAGGGTCCCGCTAATGAAATCCGCGTTAAGTGAACAACAGAACATATGGGATTAATTCCAATAGAAACCGGCCCGACCCCCAAACTCCACTTTTTGAAGGCACATACCTATGTTGTAGTAAAAATAACATCTTAATTTTATGATGGTACATGCACACAATTAATACTTAAGAGAAATAGAGAAATACAGTCGCCAAGTTAATGTCCATTCAAATAATGGACTCAACTCCCTCCCCCTCTCACACTACACAGCCGGCTAACAGATGGTCGGTCGGTCCCTCCCTCCCCCCCCCACCCCCCACCAACCGTCCCAAGGAGATGTGTGGGATAACCTCAAACTAAAGTTAGGAAAATATAATTGACATTGCTGGATTCCTTGTAAGACCAGGAATATTTTGAATATAAATGTCATATATTTTGCACAAAAGATAACATAGTTACCTAGAGAAAATTTTTTATCTAAAAATTGTAAGTTTAAAGCAAAATATATGATGTTTATATTCAAAATGATCACCAAATTATAAGAATTCCAGCAATGTAAATTATATTCTGACCGGGTAATTTGTATGAATTTTATGAGCTAAAACAAATATCTTCAGTTAATAAAAAAATAATAATCTTCACGACACTATCTGTCAATCAAAGTACCCCACCTTGCCTCCCCCCCTCTTCCAACCGCGCGGTCAGTCCCAACCCTCCCCCCCACCCCCCACCAATCCTCCCTTCCAGAGTTTTTAACATTTAGTATTAAATAATACCTCAGATTAAAGTTAGGATAATATAATTGACATTGCTGGATTCCTTGTAAGACCAGGAATATTTTGAATATAAATGTCATATATTTTGCACAAAAGATACCATAGTTACCTAGAGAAAATTTTTTATCTAAAAATTGTAAGTTTAAAGCAAAATATATGATGTTTATATTCAAAATGATCACCAAATTATAAGAATTCCAGCAATGTAAATTATATTCTGACCGGGTAATTTGTATGAATTTTATGAGCTAAAACAAATATCTTCAGTTAATAAAAAAAAATAATAATTCTTCACAGGGTAACAGATGGTCGGTCGGTCCCTCCCTCCCCCCCACCCCCCACCAACCGTCCCAAGGAGATGTGTGGGATAACCACTAAATTTTAATAAATAATACCTCAAACTAAAGTTAGGATAATATAATTGACATTGCTGGATTCCTTGTAAGACCAGGAATATTTTGAATATAAATGTCATATATTTTGCACAAAAGATACCATAGTTACCTAGAGAAAATTTTTTATCTAAAAATTGTAAGTTTAAAGCAAAATATATGATGTTTATATTCAAAATGATCACCAAATTATAAGAATTCCAGCAATGTAAATTATATTCTGGCCTGGTAATTTGTATGAATTTTATGAGCTAAAACAGGCAGTCAGGCAAGGTGGCGGGTGGGGCAAATCTAAAAATAGCGTCTCGGACACTCACCGCGTATATGTGGAAAAAATCCGCGTTAAGTGAAAGTTCAGCTTTGGCAAGGCACCGCGTATATGCGAAAACGCGTTAAGTGAAACCGCGTTAGGCGGGGTAAAACTGTACATGTTTGCTGTTCAACACCTACATTAATCTGTATGTTCACTGTATGTTCCTTTACCTTTCTCTAATGAAGGCTTTTGTTAAACCACCAATGTATGTAATAAGTCCTTTATGTCCAATGTATATTTTCAGCCTCCAGGCTGAAATTTTTTTTCAATAAACCGTTAATTATTATTATTATTATTATTAAGCCATGAAGTCTGATGACCCGGCATTGAGTAGTTGGAGCATGATCGCCCGCCAGCAAATCTTGGGGGAGTTTAACGATGTGCTCATTGATCCCGAAGATTTTCACAATGGTGCAAAGCTACCGACCATGTCTGGGGATCCCATGAAAATTCATCTTAAAGAAAACGTCAAACCCTTTGCAATCCATATTCCTCGAGCTATTCCTTTAGTGTGAAGATCAGACACCAAGCGGATGCTCGATAGCAGGGTCCAGCAAGGTATCATTCAGCCACTTGGTGATGAGGCATCTCAGTGGTGGCATCCCATGGTGATCGCTCCCAAGCGGATGGGTGGTGTCCGCATTACAGTAGAATTGACAAAACTCAACAATCATGTTCTACTTCCCACCCACCCATTCCCGACACCACTCAACAGTGCCATGCAGGTAACCCCTGGCTCTAGGTACTTCACGACTTTGGATGCTTTGCTTGGCTATTGGCAGATCCTGCTCGCTAAGAACGCACAGCCACTGACAACCTTCATACACCATGGGGGGAGATGCAAGTTCCTGCGAGGTCCCATGGGATTTGTCTCAACAGGTGACGAGTTTTGCAGATGAGGTGACATCGCCCTCGGAGGCATTGGCAACCTTACCAAGGTAGTTAATGATGTGTTCGTTTGGGACTTGACCTATGCCGAACACCTACAACGTATCCGTGCAATTCTGGAGCAATGCCGCTGACACAAGATCACTATGAACCATAATAAGTTCGTGTTTGCACGTCAGTCTGTAGAGTTCTGTGGTTACGGCATCACAGCTGGCAGAGTAGTTGCTGATGCTGGTAAGGTCAGGGGTATAGTAGACTTCGCAGTCCCTGTCAACATTACTGATTTCTGTTCCTTTCTAGGTCTTGTGAACCAGCTGGTCAACTTCACTCCGAGTATCGCATCAGCTGTCGGTACACTGCGCACCCTTCTCAGCACCAAGAATGCCCTCGTATGGATCCCAGACCACCAAATTTCTTTCGAGAAAGCAAAGTGGGCTCTATCATCACCACCGGTGCTCGCCCAATTCTACTCCGCACATCCCACAATATTGCAAACTGACGCCTCATGTCTCAAAGGCCTTGGTCACCCTCCTGCAGCTTCATGGTGAGCAGTGGAGGCTTGTTCAGTGTGGTTTTCGTTTCCTCAGTGACATGGAGACCAGGTACACCATGGTGGAGCAGGAGCTCGTTGCAGCAGTCTGGCCCATGCGGAAGTGTCGTCTTTACCTGATTGGACTACCACATTTTCACTAAAGTCATCGACCACAAACCTCTGCTGCCCATCCTGAACGACTACATGCTGGATTCTGTGGAAAACCCACGACTGCAGCGTCTGAAAGAGAAAACAGCACGACATTCCTCCATTGCCAGGTGGTGTAAGGGCAAGGAGCACGCCATCCCTGATGCGCTCTCCCGTGCACCCGTTGAAGACCCGACATCATCTGACTTGGAGGCTGACACGGGGGTGACCCACCACATTCATAGCTGTGTGAGGGCTAAAGCAATGGAAGTGTTGTCACGGCATTCTCAACATATGTGTGACCCCATCATCGAAGAAATCCTACTCTCAGCGCCATGATGGGAGTTGGCGAGTAATAAGACAATTAGTTCACTGGAGTTTACCGAAGGAGTATCAGTACAAAGGCAAGAGCACGGGACAGACATGTGTTCTGTATGGACAGACTGGTAAGACTGCCAGATGAGCCGCCAGACCTACCCATGTGGATATGGTTTATTACCCTGATGGTAGTTTGGGTGGCACAGTAGTTTGCCAGGTGTTGGACAATATAACAATACAGAGTAATGGTAACAGCACATACATAGAATATACATATGGACCAATATAACTGATACAACATATGTAGGCTTTATACATATACACCTAGCTAACTGAACACTCTCCACCCAGTCTTATGAAAAAAGAGGAGCTCATCCTCATCCCCCAAACCCCCCCTGGATTTGCCACAGGTATTGTGATTAATAAGAAAAAGGTTTCTCACTTAACTTGTCAACAGAAAAAATCATAAAGTTGCTCTTTCTCTCTATCAAAAATCATGAGCCATTATCATTAAAAATTGTCAACAGTACTTACCTAATAAAGTCATTGGGAATTTTGAAGATGCGACCTTGGCAGTAGAGACACTGTCGCCAGCCATGACTAGCCACCAATGACCCGACACTACTTCCAACTTCAGTCATTATGAATATGCATTATACCATAAACTGGGAAAAAAACATACAGTAAGGATATGGCAAACATTAATTATTGAAAAATTTGCTAAAATAATGACAGTTATACAGTACAGGTGTACAGTAGGACATGGTTTGGACAATGTAATATGGCACATAGCTATATCCTGGTACTGAAAAAACAAAACTTAAAAAATTATACAGTACAGGACTAAAAAAACGGATTAATTCTCAAATGGTAAATTATGACTGAGCCCGTAACCAGATGGCTGTAATCCCTATGTACTGTATGTCTAGAATGAGGGGAGTTGGCTGCTATTATCATTATTTATCCCTAATCATACCCAATCCCATTATCCTAAAAAGAAGACAATTAGATACAAACACATTCCTATAGAAGGAGGAGGTCTAATACAGCTCATGCCCATCTGGTGACTCTGGGACAGATGCATCCCAGAGAGAAAAACTCAACCTTGCATCCGGAAAGGATTGGGTATTGAAAAACAATTACTTTCAACTCTCCCACACTTGTACAGTGTTGTCCTAAAAAAGAAAAAAGTATAGCTACAGACAGAAACTTTTAGGAGAATAGACAACAGTTGGCCATTCATAGATATATCTAATGTACAGTCGGGGTCAAAAGTCTTGAACACTTAGCAATATCTGGCATCTACTTATGAATTATACATACTGTATATGATTGGGATATACTAATAACACTACTTGTCATCACATATTATGCCTGAACCACAAAATGGGAAAAAACTCTCCTTAATACCTAAGATCTTCGGGTACTTACATGCCAAATACTGTCAAGTGTTCAAGACTTTTGACCCCAACTGTACATAATCAAATAGGAATTCCAAGCCAGTATACAGTAAGACTATACATGAGTCAAAGTCAAGAATACAAACCCAAGCAAATTAAACTATATTAAAAATGGACAAACAAGGATATGAAAGACCAGGAAGAGCCCCCTGGACAGAAAGTTATGTCAGGTTCTTCTTTCATTTTTGAGTGTTTTTCACCCCACAATGTTGATAACTTTCTCAAAATACTAATGTTCGTCAGAAATGAACATCATAATCATGTGAAACAGAGAAAAATACTAATAAAACATTTGTTGGAAGTAATTTATGTGAATGGTCACTATGGGTTATTTACGGAGTTGTAAAGTACGGTAACTGAATAAATTTAATTGAGTACTGTACTCAAGTAACATTTTGGGGTATTTACTTTTTAAAAGTAATCAACTTTTTTAGTACTTTTACTGAAGTACGGCTTTCTAATACTTTTACTTCAATACAATTGAAAAACAAAAATCGTTATCCGCGTCATGTCCCAAACAAAGAATTTTAATGTCTGTGGCAAATTAATATATTTTTAAATTAATTAATTAAATATTAACCACAGTAAAAAAGTTGTGTGGGGGGTGGGAGGGTATGGTGTGGGTGTGGGGAGACACCACACGGTCACATACCTAGAGGTACCGTGAGGTGAGGTGACATCAGGTCAGGTCAAGTGGCAGTAGCCATGACAGCAGACTTTCCCTTTGATCTTCTTGTGTCCATTAGCACCTTGACCACCCACCTCACCTAGCTTACCCTCTTATCCCCCCCCCATAATATCCCCTCTCTTCTCCCCACCTTTCCTTCAGCGGCTTGGTCTTTCTGTAAGAAGTCAGTTGCTCTTTGCATATACAGTACTTGTACCTAAAATTAATTTCAAAGAGGCTGTGATTCTAAAATGCTTTATGTAATTCCATCTTAGTTATAAAGACTGTATCTATACATGTGTGTGAGACTGAGTGTATTCAAAATTGTGCTTAAATAACTAAGTACCACTGCCCTCACCGCCAGCACCCGCCAGATATTATGTGGTGCAAAAATTCAGCCACTCATCAATTAGAATCGAAAAGTGACATCACCACAGCCACACCTCCATTAGAGGGACAGTTCACGGTGAGTCTTAGTCAGACTCAGTCACTATGGAGGCAGCAGTCATCCACAAACTCCTCAACTGAAGGAACTTGATAGCTACTTGGTAGGGAATGGGACAACTGGCCGCCGCCATCTGGCCGCAGCCCAACTGGCCGTGGGAAACTCGCCGCGGCCGACTGGCCGCCACGGACTGGGGGTAAACTGCAAACGCCTATTTAGGTTAGGTTAGGTTAGGTTAGGTTAGGTTAGGTTTGGTTTGGTTTGGTTAGGTTAGGTTAGGTTAGGTTAGGTTAGGTTAGGTTTGGTTTGGTTTGGTTAGGTTAGGTTAGGTTAGGTTAGGTTAGGTTGTCAACAAAAAGTTCCATATGGCGGCCAGTCGGCCGCGGCGAGTTTCCCGCGGCCAGTTGGGCTGCGGCCAAATGGCGGCGGGCAGTTGTCCTAGACCCTACTTGGTATGCCCAGGGGATGGAATGGAGCTACTGAGGTCTTTCCCGATATTATTTGACTGGTCTCTCAAGCTTAACACCCCACTACCTGCAACTGCTGCTTGTGAGCATCTGACTAACAAGTTGGACATACCATTTATTTTTTAAATAATTTATTACCCTGCAGGGGGCGACAAGCCTAGTCACAAGACCATGCGGTCAGTCACTAATACATTGGTACTTGTGTCTCGCAGGACACACTATGACCTGTGATATGGAGTCAACATTGATATGATTCAAGGACAAAAGGAGTTAGCACCCACCAAAGCCAGGGTAGCATACAAGAATTATATCTAAATTATTATGAATAAGTAAGTGGTGACATATAGTGGTTAGTGATCCATCCTGTGGTAGGAGGTCACTGACAGTCAAGGCAATAGTGTTGAAGAGTGTTACTGTTGGGAGAGTTACAGAGTTACAGGAAGTGAAGTGTGGGTCATCTCCCCACCTCAGATACTTGCCAGGTAGATCTGTATCCTAACTTAATGCGAGCAGAGGCAGCATTACATCTGTGGACCTAGAGTCCATGTCGATGATACTTGTGTGGACAAGGAAGAAAGTGATCATTGTGTTGGATGGATATATTTTCAGCTCGTTCACTGTCCCTGCAATGGATTGTAGGGAGACGAGAGGGTGAACATATTCTATTTCAGTAGGTCATGCTGGGCTTATATTTAGGCCTAAAAGATCCTGATTGGACAGCCATAATTTTGAGAACCAGTTATTGATTAATCTCAATACTAAGCTATGCAAATAAACATGTGTAATGCTGTGTGTCTTATTTTTATCTTTAGTTAACTATTTTTTATACAATAGACTGTGGATCTATTTTCATATTTGAAACAATTAATAATTTGGATGTTACTTTTTACTTTCAGTACTTAAGTCCAGTACTTTATGAATAAGATACTATTTTACTTCTACTCGAGTACATTGATCTTTGGATAATTTTACTTCTACTCGAGTAAAATTTTACCAAAGTAACAATACTTTTACTGTTGACAACACACCATACAGTACATAATGTAAGTCGTCTCTCACTCTTATTTATTTTTTATTTTTGTATTGTTTATGGTTGTTATTTTTATCATTATTATTTTATTTATCAAAATTTTTAAAAACATTATTCTTATTATTATATTTTGCCCCCCAGGCCCTGATGTGGGTCAGTGACCTGTGCCCGGGTGGGCTAATCCCCATTAAAAAAGAAAAGAAAAAAGCCCAGTACTTTCTACAACTCTGATTATTTACCCCCACATGAAACAAGGTAAAGAAGTAGAAGAGTTGTGGGTGCCCAGGACTGGTTGGGCTTTATATGTCATGTCGTCGGGCAAGTTGTAAGGATGGTAAAATATGCCTCATCAAAAGGTGATCGCATACTTGGCTATGGTCTCTGATTGCTGAATAGGGTGGTTTTGACAGTACCGTAGTTGGCTTGTTCTAAACGAGCAATCTTTATGTATTCATTCACCTTTTGTATTAAGTGCTAAGTTCCTTCTACTCTTTGCATATTTGACTCTGTACTGTATAGTTCAATGCAGTAAATTTTAGCAATTAAAAATAATAATAATACCAACCTTCCATCCTAAGTTGATTTGATAGGTAGGTTGATTTGTTGGTTCATGTGTATCACCAATTAATACTTGTACAGTATATAACACTAGAAAAATTGCATAACTCACCTACCTACCATAACCCACCTACCTACCATAACCCATAACTCACCTACCTACCATAACCCATAACTCACCCACCTACCATAACCCATAACTCACCTACCTACCATAACCCATAACTCACCTACCTACCATAACCCATAACTCACCTACCTACCATAACCCATAACTCACCTACCTACCATAACCCATAACTCACCTACCTACCATAACCCATAACCCACCTACCTACCATAACCCATAACTCACCTACCTACCATAACCCATAACTCACCTACCTACCATAACCCTTAACTCCTACCTACCTACCTATAACCCATAACTCACCCACCTACCATAACCCATAACTCACCTAATTAACAAATCATAACTCACCTACCTACCATAACCCGGTAGAATCTCACCCTTCCTACCATAACCCATAACTCACCTACCTACCATAACCCGTGAATCTAACGCACCTACCATAACCCAGAACTCACCTACCTACTATAACCCATATAACTCACCTTCCTACCATAACTGTAATCCCACCTTCCTACCATAACCCACAACCAATACCTACTATAACCCTCTTAACTCACCTACTCACCATAACCCATGTAACCTCACCTACCTACCATAACCCATAACTCACCTACCTACCATAACCCATAACTCACCCACCTACCATAACCCATAACTCACCCACCTACCATAACCCGTAACTCACCCACCTACCATAACCCGTAACTCACCCACCTACCATAACCCGTAACTCACCTACCTACCATAACCCGTAACTCACCCACCTACTATAACCCGTAACTCACCTACCTACCATAACCCATAACTCACCTACCTACCATAACCCATAAATCACCCACCTACCATAAACCATAACTCACCCAATCTACCATAACCCATAACCACCCACCCACCATAACCATAAC